AAAAAAAAAAAAAAAAAAGGGGGGGGGGGGGGGGGTACAAAATGAACTTGATTGATTACAAATTCACAACCTCAAATCAGGCAGCGATCAATGTCGATAAATAATTATGGGTGTCAATATCTATAATGAGAATATATGGAGTTATTAAATAGAAAGAACTTGCTGCTTAATTGCTCGACAAAAGTAACTTTAAAAAAGATAGATTCTTGACAAGGCTCAACTTTCTTGTCTTTTTATTAATTTTTCGATTTTTTTTCTTTGTTTACCTTTCTTTTGGGAAGCAAATCATAACTCATGCCAGTCGTGAAATTTCAGCTTGAAATTAGGTATCTCAGGACAGATAATACAAATAATAAATAAAAATTAGACATTTCCATATACATGAGCCTTTTGTATTGCTATATGCTATATGTTCTTTTTGTTTCGACGCTAATATTTCTTGAGGATATTTTGAGTAAAATAGGCAAGAGAGCTAACAAATATAAACAAGTTTAGATCTTGTCATTTACATTTTTAATCTTATATTTCAGATATTAAAAAATGGGTTGCAGGTTGTCTATATGGAATAAGTAGAACTACAAGACTTGAGGATCGTATACAGTAGTTTGATTTCAAATTCAAGCTATGATTCCAAATGACTCCTCAAGCTTAACTTCATATATTCGGAGTGGAAGACGTAATGAAAAATAAAAATAAAGAGCAAGAGGCATGATAATTTGGTAGGGTCAAATTGCAAACCTTATGAGAGTAAGCATGCTTAAGTGAAGCCTATAACTCATTTTATTTGGTCAAAAAAATTAAAGATTATAAATAAAAGACAAGCTTTTTCGACTCCTAAAATCACATTAATTTCACATCTTAGCACCTATTCTGGCATTTGATGTGCATTTTGACTCCTAGGCACTCACTATAGGTGATGAAATAGGTTGACCACCTTTTTAATGCATTTTTCCGTATACATGTGCCTTCTTTATGCCTCGTGATCCTCGTGCTTAGATCCATCTAAGCTCCGTCTTTTCTTGCATTTTAGAATAATCATAAAAAAAATTGTGAAAAATCGACTCACACCACTAATGGAGTGTACAAGGAGGTGAATATGTTGAATTCAATTTTAACGATTAAAAAAATTAAATGTTGGACCATCAATTTGACTGCTGAAGAAATTGGAAGAAGAAACAGATCCATTAAAAATCAAAAAATAATAATGAAGATAAAAATTTTAAAAATTATTTAAATTAAATAAAGAATATAAATATTATTTAGGTTAAAAATTAATTTAAAAAGAAAATTAACAATCGACCCACTAACAATCGTTAAAAAATTAAAAATAAATATTATTAATTATTAAAATTTGAATTAATAAAAAGGAATATTTTTAACCCTATTACGAAAAATTAATAATAATAATAATTTAAAATTACAAATTATAAAAATTAAATAAAGAATATAAATATTATTTAATTAACTTTGAAACAACATACAAAAATGAAAGGAAAAAAATTGAGGTTAACAAAATAATAATAAAAGAATTTTTCCCCTATTATCAAAAGTTAATAATAAAAATAAAATATAAATAAAAATTCAAATTCAAAATTTATTTAAATTAAATAAAGAATAGAAATATTATTTAGGATTAAAATTGAAACAACATACAAAAATGAAGCAAAACAAATAATTTCGGTTATAAAATTATTTAATTTGTTAATTTTTAATTTAAAAATATTCTTTTAATTTAAAAATGTTAACCAAAAAATATAATGTATCTATAAAGAATAATGAAAAAAATAATTATAAAAACATAGAATAAATTAAACAAAGCGAAAGCGAAAAATTTAATAAAGAATAAAAATACTATGTAAATTTGACAATATTAAATTATTAATCAAATAAAAAAAAAAGAAAAAAAATGGGCCAACTAATAGTCAGTGGGCTACCTGATAAGAATTGGGTTTACCGGCCGTTTGACAACTAGCCTTTTTTCTTGTCGGATATCGTCATTTTCGGCGTGAAAAACCTCCCCTCCACCCCCGAAGACTAGAAATCTACCCCTAAACTTAACCATCTATCTTAAATAACCAACAATAAATTGAAAAATGATAAATTCAATACCCTAAACCATTATATTAAAAATGAAAAACAACCGAACTAACCTTGTAGCAGAAGAAGTTCGTCGGCCAACTGGGTTATGGGTAACATCTCTAACTGTTAACCGATCACCGACCGACTGGATCCCGGCTGTGGTGAGTTTTCTTGGTTAATGTGTTTGGCACAAGAAGACAAAGGAAGAAAGGTGAAGGAGAATGAGGGTATTTTTGGATTTTGATCTTTAAATTCAATTTTTTTTATTTTTTTATTTTTTAATAAAAGTAGTCAAGGGCCACTTTGGAAATAGACATGGGTCAATCAGCCATTTCCCATGATTTCCTCTGCTGCCTTGCTATACCGAACTTAACACCTGCGACCTACTACTGCTACTACTTCCGTCGAATCGCCATCGACGTCAGCCTCTTTGATCTTACTAACTGTGAGCCTCCCATCTCTATCTCTTTTTTTGTTTTTTGGTTTTTGTTCTTTTAAGTTTTAATTCATTTTTTGATTTATCATTTATGAGTTATGATTTATATTTTATGAGTTATAAATGTGACTTGTAATAAATAATTTAAGAAAAAATTCCAACCTAGTTCCTACGTAAATGATTATTGGAGAAATTTGTAGATTATAAGTAATTTGAAAATTTTTGATTGATAAATTGGAACCCATTTTAATTGATTTTGTTAATATATTGATGCCTATTTAATTAATTTTAATTGAAAAATGATTATTGGGGCTCTATTTTTCAAGGTGTAATGTGTTCTTTCTTTTTGAACTAATTTTAATTCAACTATAAAATGGGGCATTCTGTAGATTATGGAATGAATTTTTCAAAGAAAATGAAAAGTCCATACCACCTAGTTCTTCAAGTTCTAGTGGTGCGCCTAGTCCCGTCACTACATCTAGTCGACTTTACGACCTTGTTATCATGGACGTTGATTATCGCCTATCAATGGTCAAAGATCAATGTCTGCTCTTGTAAGTGTTATACCCTATATCCAATCGATTTAGGTTGTAAACATTTTTAATATGTTTAATGCTTTTATTTTTGGCAAGATTTGTTATTTATTTAAATCAATATTCTGATGAATAATATTAAATAATAGAGTCTGTAGTTTCAAGTTTCAGTAATTTGTTAATCACAAAGAGTTGTGATTGTGAGATACAAATTATGTACGATTGGATCTTAAATAATCCATAGCCGTAAGTAATAACGAGATACAAATATCGTCATTACGGATAGACCACCATGTGTAGCATTTCTTATTTGAAAAGTAAGTAACTG